CCAGCGACTTAATCCGGCGTCAAAGCGGGCCGCTGGTGTTGTTGGGCGTTATATTCTTCTAGACGACTTCTGCAGTGCTCTCAATTTCAGTGAGGGGTCATTATCGATGACATTAGTTCCTTGGGGCTCCTTGTGGCTGCTTGTTCTAAGCTTCAGAGTGATGCAACTTTTCCATTTTCCATCATAACCTACCGACCTACTCGTGGCTGAGCAGAAGCATTTTTTTCGAGAAGCACAGAGAAACGCTCCAGAAATAGCACCCCCACTAGTTCAGAAGGTGTATAGCTCGATCAATCGGTTCTCCTGCTATAACACATCTGTTTCTAGGTTGTACAATGGACCGCGGTACAAGAAGAATATGACGATCGTGTTGGAACGGCCATTGCAACGATCGGCTCAAATCTGCCGGATGTTGGAAGAAATGTTCGCGATTTGGCGCAGTTTATGCCTGATCGAAGACGGTAATAACTTCATCGATTGACTTGACGTTTAGGACATGCTTTTCCTAGAAAGCTGGCCATAATGGTGCTTAGCAGGCCAAGTATCATATATTGAGAATCCCTAGGAAGGGGGAGGTCGTATTCGGTCCTGTAGAGAAGCTAGAGGAAGGGGGACTGGATTTTGATAACAATATTTTCTGTCAACTTCTCTAGGTCTTCCCTGTTGCGCTGAAATATTCCCTGCACGACGGTTTTGGGAGAGTGGAGAATTCCAAGTGTTAGAAAAATGGAGAAATTTAGGAAGATGGTTGGGATAGATGGATGGGGAACCTGAGAGCTGGGTCGTACGGGTCGTATTTTGCGAATTTTTCCCTGACTCAGCTCTGTTGGCTGCACAATGTGTTCCGTAAAAAGGCACGCTATGGAGCTTTATAAAGGCGTAGCGCCTCCCAAACTATTCCTATTGATCCACACCGCCCCCGACGGCCACGTCCACTTTTATAGATTGATCTGGAGATCAATATGCCTTTTTTCAGTGACGATCTCATCGAGGCCACTCGAAAACTGTGTGGAGCGTTCGCGACTTCCTTCATGCCGTTAATCCAGAGCATGAGGTTTGTGCAGTTTAGAAATTTGAACTAATCATCGGGAAGCATTTATTTTGCTTTCGCTGATGCGTTTAAACTTATGCTCTCATGGCTTTTTTACTTGAATTGTTTTTTGTGATAAGGTACTGTAAAATAAAAGACAAAAGAAGCATTGGGAAGTGCCCTGGGCAGTTGTCCCAATTTTTTTTTCCCCAGGCCTAATTCACATGAATTGCTGTGTACAATGGGGTCGCACATTATGTGCGCCTATCCAGAGAGTTGGAGTGATTTTCAGAGAGAAAAAAGAACGACGTAGTTGGCAGGCGAGCTGGGATCGAAAGTTGGCGATTTTCTCCTCACAACAAGTCATCAACACAATGGATGAGCCCACACACGAACAATCGTACTTCCATGATCATCTCGTGCAGAAGGCGAAGAACGTGGCTACCAGTAAGACGCGTGCTTCAAGTCTCGTGGCTCAAGGTAGGGCTTATTCCATTTATGGTCCTGAAGAAGTTACAGTCATGGTGCCTGTCGGTGTTTGCCATCGAGGTGCGTGAAAACTCTAGAAGGAGTTTGAATCTTGGTGGATTGGTAGGGCAGAGCGAACGGTGAGACTGAAGGCAGAGGTCTTGGTAAAGACATGCGTGTAATGAGGGAATTGGGCGAGCCCAGGGATTGCAAAAAGATAGCGTGCAAGCGATGTAGCAGTGTCTCTAGAACGGAGTCGCATGTTGTTCCTCGCAGGACCTGATGTGCATTGATGGGAAGAGGCCCATAAGGTGCCATATAATAGAACAGTCCGCCTATACGACCTGGAGGTACCGAGAGGAAAGAACCCAAGTACGGAGAACGTTTGAGGCGGTAGCTTATGAAGTACGTGATCTAAGGGCGCTAGCAACAGGTGTCGGACCCAACTGTGGCGCCGTTGGAGCAGATGGAGGTTGCAGCTTCATGTTGGCTGACCAAACTGGCCTCACTACCACAGTTCCCACTTCCTCTATTCGAGGTTAACTGGTTTAACTGGTAATTGTAACTAATAAGACTTCATGTTTATCGCACGGACGCAGGTGTCTAATACGGGGCTGTTGTCTGCCCTCAATGATTCCTGATTCTAATTGTGGCACCAGTGGATTGAATGTCTTGCTCATCTTCGTTAGAATCGACGACAATCTCTTGGAGGTCGAGCTCTAATCCACTTTTCAAATGGATAGCGCGAAAGCTCTTCGAGGTCCGTCGACGTTGGATGAAGTGAAATTGTGGTGTCTGTAGCGGGCAGCAACGCATATGCCCACTGGGGGCTATTTGTCGTTGCGTCGGTTTGGCCGGCTGCCAATGATGGATGCTATGCAAATGTGTGCGACTCTTGACACCACACCCATGGGACCAAAGCCGATTGGTTAGATGTGCATGGAGAGAGCATGCATATTGTGTAGAGATTCAAACCCACACTTGCCACTCTCCATCCATGTATCTTTCGCGCTAGATGAAGGCACTTGCCCCGTGGGAGGGCTCTAGATCCGATAGGGTGATTGCTGTTGAGGCTATTGGGGAGCAGTGGCAGTTTGGCCCATTCTTCAACTTCGGCACTCGTCCGCGCTCTGTCTTCCAGCTCGCGAGCTCTGCGATGATTGTGAGTTTCTTCCTCATTTCTTAGTCAATACTTTAATCCAAGATGATCTCTGCAATCCATCTCAACAACCATGACAAAAATAGATTTCATAATGTTGCAGTATCACAGAAAAATGCTCATTCAAGGAGGTGGGGGGGGGTGTACTACTCTCTTTCAAAATCAGATATAGTTGAAGTACTACGATTACCTTTTACGTGAACATCCAGCTGGTCCATACGGAGTATTCCACACCTGTTACACGGGGGTGGCACCGCTTGACGCAGGCCACCCTCTGTGTAGGACTACTGATAGCGTGTCTAGGAAAGGCACGGGCTATGTACCGTAAAGCATATGTCTGGTTCACTATGGAACTATATTTCCGTTCCTTATGGAGCTAGCTTCAGGCAGACTTTCAGCTCGTTTTCACTTACCCCCTCCCGCTGCAGTCTGATGTGCGGCTACCCTAGCTCTGCTCTGGCCCGTAAACACTCATAGCAGTTAGAACACTGGTCCTTGGATCGTCTGCAGGCCAGGTTCTCAGATGCTGTAATTACCTGAAGCTGAGTCATAGTTATTGATGAGAGACGGTGCCTCGGCTCGGAGTCGAACCGGATTCGATTGTTCCTAGGTAGTTCTGGGAAAACAGTCCCAAGCTATTCATGTGGGATGCGCTGAAGCGGCTCTTTATAGAGGCAACGGGTTCATAATGAAGTGGAACATATCAAAAGGAAACCTCCTCTTACTCCTAAAAGGAGGTGGTGGCGGTTTAGTAGTAGGTGGGCGCTTATCACGCGCGCCAGGAAAATTCCGGATCGGCTCTTGTTCAGGCTAACCAAGCCCTCAACGCACCGGGAACGGTTAGTTGAGGTCTGAGAGGTTAAGAACACTGACTTGTACATCGGCTGGCCCACGCAAGTCATTGTATAGGCCACATCGCATTCAATAAGCCACTACGATTCTGAATGGAAGTAGAATGCGTGCCGCATCCCACAAAGGGATTGATTAACGGCGAAGGCTTTATCCTTCATCTTTTTTATCTTGGGAAAGGATTTTTCAAGAATATTTTGAGGAGATCCTTGGCAACGGCTGCGCTCTCACCAAGGCCCTCCAGCCTCCTAAGGCGATCTTTTCGAAAGAGTTTCGTAGTAGTGGAGGGTGGGGGAGAATGAGATGGGCCGACCACGGCGTACATTGAGGAATCCCCACGAAGGGGTGGTTTTTGGTCGCGGAGGGTAGCACGGGGGTGGTATTTGGCCCGAGAGAATTTTTTATTAGGTGTGCACATGTGTTACACTCCTTATCCCTGAGGCAGAGTGGGCGTGGCTTTTGAGCATGGCATAGGACGGGTTACTCGTGGGATAGTTCGCTTTGAGGCAACTGCCATTTTGCTCTGTTTTACGTTGAGACATTATTACAACTGTTTCGCACCAAAATCCGGGCCACCGTCACTCTGAACTTCAAGAGCGCAGCCACGCCTACCCGATCTCAGGATTTCGAGTGTATATACACGCCGCACGGCGGTCAAAATTTTGAAAAAAGTGAAA